GTTGTTAATAATATTAATTGTCAACTTTTAAATTAGGTAAAATTAACTAACAACTAATTTCAAATCACGTACTAACAAAGACTGGCATTAACTAATGCATTAAAATGCATTAAAATCGTCATTACAAGGTTGAGGTGATCCTTGACCAAAGCAACCACAGAATAGCCTAGCTTTGCCGCGATTTTGGGTTTCTACCCAAGTATTTGCATCTTAAAAATTTAAGAACTCAACTCGCAGTAAATTATTTCACGGTACCCTCTTTATTTCAATTTACTTTTTAATTAAATAAATTTATATTTTTCAGATCACACTGTATAATAAAAATATAATGTGAGTATTGAAATATCAAAGTGTTATTAATAAAATAATATAAAAAAATTTATTAAGGATATTTTAATAAATTCATTAAAAATACTTTTTTTTCACGTAAAAGTATGAAAAGCAAATGAGTCTCAGAAAACATGGTGACATTTTACAAATATTCACATTACATTAGAGGAATGAATGAATACTAATTCACAATTTCGTCTAGGGAACAAAATCTATAATAGTTGTTGTGAAATAAGGTAGGAGGTGAATCGTATTCCTTGCGCAATTGGGCTTGAGTTGAACTAGTTTGAACTTTGAAACGCATGCAGGCATGCCGACGTTACGGGAAATATATAGTTTGAGTGGAGACATTTAAAAAGCATTACAAAGTAAAGTCAAAATAGTCTAGAGGTAATACAATTAATGGTCTATAGTTTAAACAGTGAACGACTTTTCAAGCTGTCACCAAAAGACCCGTGGACAATACTTTCACTCTTGAATAGTTTCCATGAAACTCCCTATTTTTGAATTATTCATACCAGATGGTTTTAAACTTTTAAACACATCCTGAAACTTGTTTAAATCCTGAAACTTGTTTAAATCCTGAAACTGTAACACTATGGCCCATTGCTTTATGTAGATTAAATTCACACACCATATCATGGAAAAGGAAATTCAAGTATGCAAAGAATTTGTTATTCCAGCTTCAGAGCAAGTTCTCAATCAACTCGGAAATTCAAGATTATCCCTACTCCCTAGAATAGCTTTATGACTCTCGTCCTAAAACAATTACATCTTCCACTGTCGACATTCTAAAATACATGTATACCGATAAAAACTAAACCACTGAATATTTACCGACAGACCTCGACAAGTCAACATATTATCAACCAACATCTATTTTCAGTCTCTTGTATCAGAAAAGCTCCATCAACTGCTGAGCAACATCTGCATTAAACAATCATAACAAAAATCATTAATCAATAATGCTGGCAAATCAAGTCACCAACAAGTCTAAAAAAGATGGAAAATACATTGAGTACAGTTGTGTATATTTCTTTAAACATATTCATATCACTTCTAAGAGAATTGAAGCTGTCAAAATAAACACATTTTACAAACATAAAAGAACTTGAGTTTGTTAATGCTATTTTATAAGAGACAACACATATACATTACCTTGAAGAATGGCTGGTGTCGTTTCAAACTCCTGCCAAATGTTACGGTACGAAGCAAGATCAAAATTTAAAAATTTGGCTGCAAGGTAAGCAGCACCAGCAGCAATATGGTGGGGCTTAAACTGAAGCCATAATGAGCTTCGCAGCCTGCAAATACAAGTATCACTTCAACGCACTCATAGAAAGAGAATTATATAATAAGGGGTTGAGAGAACGATAAAGAAAGGCAAAGCAACCATTGTTTACTGGATGTAGAAAGTAAAATGAACAAACCAATTGCTGAAATAATGCTTATATAACAGGTAATCTTGACCAACTCAACAAACAGCGCCACAAAACTACAACCCTGAATAATACAATATGTAATCTTGCAATTGGTTTGAAGCATAAAAGGCAAGTCATTTATCTTACCAACCAAATAGCATCAACCCAGGTAGAATATTTTCCAAGAATCGCTGCACCATGGCTGCTAGGGTATGAATATTATAGCAAACATGTTACACTCATCTACAGAACACATCAATTCCAAGGCCCAAATCTGCTGTGCTTTTAAACTCCAGTAATATATTGAATTCAAAAGGGATACAAATAGATGTAGCAGCAGAATGTGAATTTCCAAAGCATGCTTCTTATCTTCAGCTCACCAGTTCAATCTGAACAAAGAGGTGAACATGCATGCTTCACAGCTCATGGAGCATGCATGTTAACCAAACTATACAAAATGTGACAAGCTAGAGATGTAGCTATGGGCACTTTTTGTAACCTACTGAATCAAACAGGATCTGAAAATTAACTTAAATAATAAATGCAACTTATTAGATAGTTATGTATAAGTATTTGTTTTATTTTTCTTTTTTGGGTTGCACAATGGGAGGCAACCCTCTCCCATCCCTTTACCCACCCCTCCCACATGCCATACGACTCTAATTCAAGACCTCTTGCTCCCACTTGGAGAAGAGATTCCACTTAGGTTGTTGGCTATGTATTAGTTGATAACAATTGGGGTTTTATAGTATGAATGAAAGCAGAAAGCATGATGGGTTAAAAGATAGGGTACCGCTAGAAACATAATCCATGTTTGCTAGTTATCCAAATTTCAAAACAAACCTGATTAATAACAAAATGACGATCAGGTTAAAAAACTTAATTTGAAGTTTTTAGATATAAAGAACTTGATGAAGACAAAACGCCTTTTATGCAGTCTACCAGAGAAACACGATCCTTGCCTTAGATGCACCATTTATATGAGAGAGTAGACTGGTTCACTGCTTTTTAAAAGTGACAAAGAAGCCCAGAAACTTTTGATGTATTCTAAGTTCTACTGCTTTAGCTAGGCATTTTTTAAAAAATGCAGCTTAAATTTATATCTACCAACTAATTAAAGCCAAATGGGTAGTATATTATTTATTATACATATATTTGAAAAATGGATGAGATTATGGGCAATAAAATACACCAGAATTTGTATGACATAAATAAATAAATGCTTCACTATTTTGGTACTTACTTCAGAGGTTGGTGTGCTTGGCATTCCAAAGGTTTGAACCACTAAACTTGACACAAGATTCAAGGTTTTAAAGTAAGTATCAACTAGCTAAGTTCATAGTTGGTAATTGCACAAATTTTAAATGTATTTTATCTCAATCGTTTGGCCCCAGAAGGTTGAAGGCTGTATGCTACTGGAATACCAATCAAAAAATTAAGACAAAAAAAATGACCTCTTTACCATACACACTGACCAATTTACAGGGAAAAAAAAAAGTTCCTAGGCATAATAACCACTTAACCAGCCAATCGTGCCCAGTACCTAGCAGCACAACCAATGGACCAACATTACAAGTCTGAGCCTAACCTCTGAGGAATACAGCAGAGGACCATAGAACTTGCCCAAGAACAATGACAAAGTAAGTCCTATTAAACCTACTCTATTTTATAAAGCTTTAAAGAATTTCTAATTTGCTCTTAAATCTTAAGTTACAAATGCACCAAGCTGCAAAAGAAGGGAAGTTAAGGTAGATCACAGAACACATTTCTGCCAAGCGAAAAAAAAAAAGAGGTGCAACAGTAAAAGTCTATTTTTAATAGATGCACCAGCTTGTCCCAGTTTGCCCAAGCATGCCAAGCAAAACATCTAGGATAGGATTTCTAGTAATTTTAACCAGTAATGTCAACAAATTTGCCAAAACATTCCCCGATGCAAGAAGCCAAGAACTTAAATGAAACAAAAAGATTAGATGTCAAACAGAGCTAAACTTCTTAAGGCCAAAATTCGTAAACTCTCTGCCCTTAGATATATGAAATAAAGGGAACAAATTGGACCTAGCCATTGTTTTTAATTTCTCAACATGAATCATTATATGATGTATGCATGAAGAGGTCATCATGTGCCTATATGCAGACATACATCCTAGCTGTCCTTCCAACTTTTTGAAATAAGTTGCTGTACATAATGTTACCATGGCTTAGTTTGGAAGTGTTGGGCTGTAGCTGTAGCTGTAGCTACAGCTGTAGGTTTTTTGGTCTTTTAATATCCCAAAAATATATATAATATATTTAATATATATTTTAATTAACATTTTATACATTTTTAAAATAGTAAAAAGATATAAAAACCAAAACTTAAAGCACCGTGAAGCATTCCCGAACAAAACCTATATTAAACAAGTTTGGTTTCTAACCATCCACAAAATGACTCTTATACCCATGTTTTACAATCAACTGAGCAAATTTTTGGATCCATGCCTCAGAACTGAAATTTGATAATATGGACAGGACAACTAAAGCCATGACAGTAACTACACACACAGCTGATGCTTTTTTTTGAAGAAAAAAAGAAAAAAAGAAAAAAAGAAAAAAAGAAAAAAAGAAAAAAAGAAAAAAAGAAAAAAAGAAAAAAAACTGCTGATGCTCATAAACCAAATGGTGAAATTTCACATAAAATGACAAACTCTTGAACAAAGGTTTTAACTCCCTGTAAAACGTCAGGCAATAAAAAAAAAAAAAAATCAGAGTTAAGAAAATAAAAGGAAACAGAATTTTGTTCAAAAACAATAAAAGAGCTTTTGACAAGAGAAAAAGAAAAGTAATTTTTTAATTTTGACCCAAAGAAAGTCAAATAGAAAATACTTTAAAATTTTGTGTTAAAAATGGTATAAAATGATGCGAACAAAAGAGAATGGTCGAGAGGCACATATATTGGCACCCAAAGGGCATTAAATCACAAGTTGTAATTTCACAATTTGGAAAACTTTCACCAGACTGCATAAAAAAGAATAACCCTACTTTGTAAAATACTTTGACCCCTGACAGACCAATAGATTTTGCTCCAAAACAGCGTGCAAGGGACACCAAGTGTGCAAGCAGCCAGATATCACAAACTTGAAGTTTGTATATAGGACTCCAGAAGAGTGATTCCAAATTAACTGAAACTCATAAGAAAGGGGGTTAAAAAATAAGTCAGAAAAACAGTTTTTTAAAGGTTCTGTTGCTATCTTTTGTTGCAATGACCAAGCAGATTGGGTATGATCAAAGAATCCAAAAGACACCAGGAGTTCAACTTCAGATGTAAAAAAAAACTTTCCATGAAGAGCATATCTATCTGCCATCAAATAATATCATACAGGCCAGCACTCTAATCTTGTAAAGACCCTGCAATTATATGCCATGCCAAACAAATCAATATGCCATAGAATAATTATGTAAAACAGCTTGTCTAAAAAAGAAAAGAATGCACAAAAGTAACACTAATTTTTGGACGTGGAAGAGGACAACAAACTTATCTCCTTTACACCTCAACTCTTTTTTTTAAAAAAAAAAATATATATATATATATATATATATTTGAACCCATTCAGATGGATTGAACACAATAAGAAACTCAAATCAAATGCCAATGAAACCCCACTAATCTGCTTATTTGTTAAGACCTAAATTTATAAGAATAACAGTGACATTCCTAGACGCAGTACAACATGCTACTTTATCAATTGTTCTAAGTTATACTACTCAGGAGGACAAAGGAAAGACAAACCAATAAAATACCTGAAAGAGAAATGAAGAATAATCATTTATCAATTAAGAAAGGCCATAGTGCACAACAGCATCAAGGAGAAGATCAAAATTCATCAGTAAATTTTGCTTCTAAAGTAACTGAGTGAATTGATAGAGAAACTGATTGCACCTGTGAAATTAACATCAAAGAAAAAATACTAGTATCATTAAACCACAGGGGTAAACCTACCCTTCACTGACCAAGTTTAAGGCCATATTCACCAAGTTGGCCTGTGATAGACCTAATTTGCTCAGAGTAGATGTAAGAGGAGCATATGGATGCTGCACATTAAGTTCAAAGTTTAAAGTAGTCAAGATCATTCGCTCTGCTTCAATTACACGTTCCCGATACTTCTCAAACCAGTCCTATTCAACACATACCATATTTAATGTTAGGAAACTGTAAACATCACATGCAGTCTTTCCATCTCACAATATCTACCCCCTAAAAGAAAGTTAAAATATCAAGCTTTCATATTGTAAACTAAAATGGGTTCCATATTTTAAATTTTATAGTGTTGGAAAACATGAAATTAAAATGCACAAAAATGATTTGAACTACCTCCATACAGTTCAATATATTCAAGTAGAACCCACCAATCTACTAAATAAATTTAATGTGTCAAAAAAAAAAAAAATTAAGCAACATATATTTGAATGCCAAATATGTCAAAATACGGTTCCCATATATTTATTAAAAAAGGGTTAGAAATAAACATATAAACATTATATTCACATTTAAACTGCCTATGATTTAATATTTTTTAAGTTATTTCTGACAAAAAAAAAGAATGAGAGAGTGCTGAGGATACTCACAACTGGGAGAAAATAAGACAAGAAAGAAAAATCCTGCTTGTGGAAAATTTCAGAAGATGCTCTCAACACATTGTTCAAAGGGCGTGGTGTCTCCTCTGACTTTGCAGCCAGAAAAAGAGCAGCAGTAGCAATCAACTGCAATAGAAACATATTAGTAGCAATCAACCTCTTAATTATAAGTCAAGATGGACTGAATAATCTGTCTATGGATTAGAAAAATTTTTTTCCCAGCAATAGAAAACATTCCTTTTCAGCAATAGCAAATATTTTAATTTTGGTAAAAACGAAGAGGCAAAAGAAAATTTAACCCAACTCAACTTTCACCTGAAGCTCAAAGGGTAGACTAGCAACTTTCAACTTCTTAACCAGTTAAATTCCCTTTTCATAAGCATGGGGATTGGCAAGGTGCTCTAGGAGCCAACCCTGTTCCCACAAACACAGGCATGTGCAATGACTGCACATCCAAGGAGAGGGACAGAGTTGGCCAAAAAAAGGAAAGAGACAGGGCATCCACAAAACTTTCTATAGAGGCATAAAAATCTCCAGCATCTATATCTTCAACCTCCCAACCCCAAACAAAAAGATGAGACATCAGAGCAAACACAGTAGTTCTTAAGCACAAGTGTTTGAAACTCACAAATCTATCATGGCAAGCATGTGACCTTCGTACAAAAAATCGGTGGCAGAGGACCATAGCTGTGCCAAAAGTAGTTTGTGGCCTGCAAGATGCAAAACATTTTTCAATTACATGAGAAACCAAGAGTAAAATCAATAATTAACACAAACTAACTGCAAGTACATACAAAAAAGCAACAAACAAGAAATATATTCAAGATGCAGAGCTTACAACTCAAGCCGCATTCCAAGATTCTGAATGAAGGCACAATAAGAATAACGCAAATGAGTTTCGCGTATAGCATCAATGCCATCTTTCCTTGAGGGCGAAATTCTCTCAATCTCGTATCTAGACATAAAGACAGGTTCATCATCCTCCAATTTTGACCTGTCACGTTTGCCAGTGTTACATGTAACAGATGCCTCAGCGTCAGATCTAGGAGGAGGAGGGACTAGATTGTTGAAGTTCCATGGAGCAGCAGCATAATGTGCGTTAGGTCTACTACTGTCTCCCCAAGCGTCAGCTGAAAATTTTCTCCTTTTCAAAGAGGGAGCACCATTAGGCTGAGCATAGTGATAAGAATTACTATGCACCCGAAACTGCTCTGAGACGTCATGTCTGCAGTTAAAGTTCCTGGCTTGTCTGTAGTTCCAATTCCAGTTTCCGTTCTTGTTTCTATTGTTATTACTATTACTCAAGTAGTTTCTGCCAAACCGATTGTCATCATGGAAAGTGCCTCCTTGTGGAGGATAATTTCGTAAAAAAGACATTATTCCTGATTTTCAGAGAATCGTTAGAGAATTAACAACAATGAAGAATTATTTTAACAAACTACTCCAGCAAATCACTTAAAATGAAGAATTCTCAATATTTCTTCCTTAGTAGCTACAGCCTAATTGATTATTAGGCATAATAATTTAATAAAGATGAATAGAGAAAAAAAAAAGAAAAAGAAAAAGCTCTAGAACAACAGAAAACGCTAGAAAATAATCTCTACGGCTTCAAAATTATAAAATTCCAAACAAAAAACATGCAAAACTCCACATGATGGGATCAAAACAAATCTTGAACAAAATCAACATCTCAAGAACTGATTGCAGAGAGAACATCGGATTGATAAACGAAGAACAAGGAAACGAGCAGCAAGAGAAGAAAAACTCAACGATTGTGTTTAGCGGTAGTTTACCTGTTTAACGGCGAAAGAGATCGGAAAAGGCGGCAGCGATCTCGGCCAGATTGGTCTAGAGAATTTTGAGATTGAAGATGACGATGCAGATGAGACTAGGGTTCAGGAAGAAGAAAGCATAAAGGCTGTGGTCTCAAAAGGAAGAAAAGGAGAAGACGAGAGCCCCAAACAAAGATAATGCCGAAGGAGGAAGATACATTACTCTTTTTGTTGAGAGAAATTCAAAAAATAATAATAAAAATAAATAAATAAATAAGGAGAAAGGATAAGTACGTGGTTTTGCCACCTACCCATTTGCAAAAAGTCAATTTGATATATTTGCAGTAAAAAAATAGTTATTAATGTTAAAAAATATTAATTTATAAATTAATTTTAATTTATTATAATAAATATTAATAAACTATTAAATATTTTTAATAATTAAACTAAATACAATTACAATATTTTTACGTGACATTAACAAATATTCATGCTTTCATAATTATACTCCC